ACCCACGGGCTCAGGCAATCCACTCACCTCAGCCTCCCAAAGGCGCGGGATTACAGACTGAGCCACCGAGCCGGCTCCAAGTGTTCTTTAAGCTATGGCCTGGCCGTGTTTCTTGGCTTTGGCTCCCTCCCCTACCTTGGGGAGGTGAATATCTTTTTCTCTCTAATTTACTTTCTAAATAAACTATATTTTCTAATCTTAAAAAAAAAAAAAGACTAAAGATGAAGTTTATGTGGGTCCTGAAGCTGCGGATTTCAACAGATCAACAACCTGGGGCTATTTATAGGTTTTCTTCAGGCTGTCACCAACAAGTTGTGCAAGGGGAACCAAAAAAACCTCCAGAATTATAACTTTTAGGAGGCTAGTACCCTTGTAGTACACTTGGAATGTGTTCCTCCAGATCAAATCATCAACCAAAGATTTTATTTTATTATATTTTCGAGTTGGAGTCTCACTCTGTTGCCCAGACTGGAGTGCAGTGGCCGCTCCCGGCCACCGCAGCCTCGCCTGCTGGGCTCCGGCGATCCCTTCGCCTCAGTCTTCCAAGTAGCCAGAACTATAGGCACGTGCCACCACACCTGGCTAATTTTTTATTTATTGTAGAGACGAGGTCTCGCCAAGATGCCTGGGCTGGTCTTGAATCCGCGGGCTCAGGCAATCCACTCACCTCAGCCTCCCAAAGTGCTGGGATTACAGGCTGAGCCACTGAGCCTGACCTCAACCAAAGTTTTTATCTGGAAGTTTTGAGAAGGTTGTGTCATGATTTGTGGAAGAAACACCCTGAGTTGTGGCAAACAGGTGACTGGTTCTTCCACCATGACAATGCACCTGCCCTCATCATGCTGAGTGTTTAGCAGTTTTTGATAAAAAAAAAAAAGGCATGACCTCCATGCCCCACCCTCACCCCAAGCAATTATTTTTTGTTTCCCCAAATGAAAAAAGTCCCCAAAGGGAAACATTTTGCTGATGTGGAAGAAGTGAAACAAAAAATAGCAGAAGCACTAAAAGGCATCAAAAGTAATGAGTTCAAAAATTGCTTTGAGCAGTGAAAAAGCATCTTGACAGGTACATTGCATCAAACAGTGAGTACTCTGAAGGTGATGAATTTAAACATGTAAGAATAAATACACAATTTTTATAAATAAATTTGAGGTTATTTTGCCCCCTTGTATATACTATTGAAATGAATGGCAAAAACACATTCTAGAATGTAGATGAAGCATAGTGCCCCCAGAATGGCCTTGCTGGCTCACTGTATGACTGACGATTCTCCAATATTAAAACCACCTACTGCTCCTAAACTCATTGGACAGGCCAGCCTTAGTGGTTCAGCCTGTATCCCAGACTCTGGGAGGCCAAGACGAGTAGATTGCCTGAGCCCACAGGTTTGAGACCAGTCTGGGCAACTTGGCGAGACCTACTCGCTAAAATAAATTAAAAAAAAAATTAGCTGGGTGTGGCAGCACACGCCTGTAGTTCTGGCTACCTGGAAGGCCGAGGCAGAAGAATGGCAGGAGTCCAGCAGGTCGATGCTGGGGTGACTGTGAGTGTGCTACCGCACTCCAGCCTGGGTGACAGAGTGAGACTTCAACTCAAAACAAACAAAAAACTCATTGGACAACCATACATTCTGTTAAGTGGCACTCCAGAACAACATGCACCTTATTCTACCACTAGAAAGCAGATTCAGGGCCAGGTGCAGTAGCTCATGCCTGTAATCTGAGCACTTTGGGAGGCCGAGGTGAGACAGGACGTAAACGTGAATAAATAAAAAAATTAGCCGTGCACAGTGGTGCATGCCTGTAGTTCCAGCCACTTGAAAGGCTGAGGTGGAAGGATTGCCTGAGCCCAGCAGGTCAAGACTGTGGTGGCCATGAGCATGCTGCTGCACTCCAGTCTGGGTGGAGTGAGACTCCGACTCAAAACAAAACAAAACAAAACAAAAAAAAACAGATTAAAAAAAAGTAAAAAACAAAAACAAAAAAACATAAAACATGAGACTTTTTATGCAATTGTACTTTTAGTGCTTACCATTAACTTGACTGTAATTGTTTGACTTTTAAAAAAGACTGAAGATTAGTGATATCACTGTTAAGACTTAAGGAGAAAGAATTGTAGACTAAACCAACAGGAGCGTGAAGGAAAAGTAGTAATAAAAATAATAGCAAAAATTATGAAAACTGACAATTAGAAAATAGCTAAGAAAATGAAGAAAACCAAGTATGTTATTCAAAAAAGGCTAATGAAAGAGATCTATCTTTGGTAAGAGTGACCATAAAAAAGATGCAAGAAGGACCACATAAGTGGTATCAATTGTGAAAAGGGGATTTAATCAAGAAACAGTAAAAAGTTACCAAAATGTTGGGGCTTGGTAGCTCAGTCTGTAATCCCAGCACTGTGGGAGGCTGAGGCGAGTGGATTGCCAGAGCCCGCGGGTTCGAGACCCACCCGGGCAACTTGGTGAGACCTCGTTTCTACAATAAATAAAAAATTAGCCGGGTGTAGTAGCGCGAGCCTGTAGTTCCAGCTACTTGGAAAGCTGAGGCAGAAGGATCGTTGGAGCCCAGCAGGGCGAGGTTGTAGTGGCCAGGAGCATGCCACTGCACACCAGAATGGGCGACAGAGTGAGACTTCAACACCAAAAAAAAAAAATAAAAGTTACCAAAATGGCAAAATTGGATTTATCCTAAAAATGCAAGGACTTTGTAAAACATTAGAACATCTATTGATGCAACTCCCCATATTTTCAGATTACAGTAGTAGACAGCTCTCTTACATCTTATCTGAATAAATTAAGAAAGCAATAAGAGAAAAACTCACCCAGATTCATGATCAATCTAGTATCAGACCAAAGTAACAGACCCATTTAGCTGATCATGGTAGCACTCACCTGTAGTTCTTGTCACTCAGGAGGCCAAGATAGTAGGATTGCTTGGGCCCAGGAGTTTGAGGGTATAGCTCAAGATATGACCACACCACGGCACTCTAGCCTGGGTGACACAGATCCTGTTAAGAAAGAAAGAAAAAGGAGGGAGGGAGGGAAGGAGAAGGAAAGAAAAAAAGGAAAGCAATAAGTAGACCCCTTTACTCTATCTCCACAAATTCGGAAAGTACTTTAAGGAAAGCTCAAACTCCTAATGAAAATTCTTAACAACTAGAAACACAGGGAATTATGACAAACATCGCACCTAAAGGGGAACCACTAGAACTGCTCACTTTCAAGTCAAGGCCAAGACCTCAGATGCTTGACATGTGCACAGGATTCAACAGCAACATGGAGGGGCCAGCTAATCAGGAGGACTACACTCCCAGCTGTCACTTCAGGATGCTGCAAGAACCTCTCCCACTGAACAGACCTCCAGAGGCTACTCTATCGTATGACATGTTTCCTGTGCTCAGTCGTCTGGGTAGAATGGGACCTGGGTGGCCTGTGGTAATCCTGTGAAAACAAAAGACTTGAAAGCAACTCCAGGCCATTGCCTTGCTGGACTCACTCACTCACTCTCTCTCCTCCGCCCCCATTTACTTTTAAATAACCTATATTCTGTAATTTAACTTCTGTGCAATTCTTTGCATCTTTCATGCAGCATTGGATTGCACACCAGATACCCATACCCCCAGTGGGCCTGACCTAACATTCTGGAGGCCCCGCTGGGAGAGTGTGACCCTAACAGTGGCATTTTTTGGTCCAGACTTCCTGGTGCCAGGTACCAGAATTTGTCTTTCAGCTGCTTGCATTCATACTTTGTTATCAGTTGTCAGTGATGACCTTCGGTATATCACAGGAAGTCATATTTACATCCTTATTGTTAACACCCAACTGTGACTACCCCAGCTCACCACCTCAAGGACACAGACTGCAGGTGCCTGGTGATGTCAAGAAACCCCGCTACAGAGACTGAAGAATCTAGAGTCCTGGACATTCCTTTGATCCTGACCCCTAGGGGGCCCAAACCCCCATTCCCAAAAGGCTCGTAAATATACCTAACCCTTAGCCATTCAAGGCCACAATTGTATCTGAGAATCAGGCCCCCCTTTCCAATCTGTGAAAGATGAATAATAAAGTTTACTTCTTTCTTCTTAAAAAAAGAAAAAAAAAAAGAAAGTAACTCCCTGCAGGCTTTTGAAAAGAAGTACGCGTGTACAGTTAAAAGAAGTGAGATAAATCAGTCATATACAGAATGGTATCATTTAGGGAAAATTTCTGGACACACACAATATTTTGGATCTAAAAATATAATAATGTTCTGGCAAGACACCTACCAAAGCTGTGGTTACGACTGCCTTGGGGGCAGGGAAAGGAACAAACCTTCAGAAACAAAGGGCATGTCCATTTCATTTACACAGTCTTTTACTGAAATAGGACAAACACCACCAAGATAACCCACCAAATGGAAGGCAATAGTTATATACTTGTATCCAGATATATAAACTTCTTACAATTTAATAATAAAAAGACAACCCAATTTTTAAAAATGGACAGAGGATTTTATCTTAGTTTGGACTGCTATAATAAATATACAAAGGGTGACCAAAAAAGTATACACATTGTAAGAAAGGAAAAAACTGTATTAAAATTGTAATACTGCCCTGCATGTCTCATAGTGATACTAGCATCCACTTGAGGAACACCATCTTTTGAGTGAACATCATATTTCACAATTCTACTGTAACTCAATTCAACTTTGAAAAGTAATACATAGATAACACTGCTTAAAATGTGTATACATTATTTTGGCACCTCCAGTACAACAGACTGGGTGGCTTCAATAATAGAAATTAATTTCTCACAGTTCTGGAGACTGGAAAGTACAAAATCAGAGTGTCAGTATGATCAGGTTCTGCTGACAGCCCTCTTCCTGCCTGCAGGTGTCCATCTTCTCAGTGTGTCCTCACATGGCAGAGAGACAGGAAGCAAGCTCTCAGGATCTCACATGTCCCCTTCTATAAGGGCATTAATTTCAACACAAAGGTTTCACCCTGATGACCCAATTACCTCTCAAAGGTCCCATCTCCAAATACCATATTGGCTTCAATATATAAATGTTGAGGGGTCACATTCAGTCCATAGATCTGAATAGATACTTCTCCAAAAATGGCATACAAATGGCCAATAAGCACATGAAAAGATGATCAATATCACTGGTCATTAGGGATGTGCTGATTAAACCACAGTGAGATAGTACCTCACACTCACTAGTATGGTCAATATTAAAATAACAACAACAAAAAAACATAGAGTAATAAGTATTGGTGAGGCTATGGAGAAACTGGAAGCCTCATTCACTGCTGGTGGAAATGTAAAACAGTGCAGCTACTTTGGAAACCAGTCTGACATTTCTCAAAAGCTAAAAGAGTTATCATGTGATCCAGCTGTTCCACTTGCTATGGTTTCTAATGTTGAAATTTAACCCCCAGTGTGGCATGTTGGGAGGTGGGACCTAGTGGGAGTTGTTTGGGTCATGGAGGCAGATCCCTCATGATTGGCCTGGTGCTGTTCTCACAATAGTGAGTTTTCACTCTTGAGAGACTGCATTGGTTCTAGTGGGCCTGGATTAGCTCCTACAAGAATGGGTTGTTATAAAGCCAGATTGCCCCTCGTGTCTGGAACCCCTTCACATACACTCACTTTCCCCTTGACATTCTTGTCATGTTTTAACTCAATACAAAAGCCCTCACCAGAAGCTGAGCAGATGCCTGTGCCATGTTTTTCATACAGCCTGTAGAACAATAGGCTAAATAAACCTCTTTTCTTTATAAGTTACTGAGCCTCAGGTATTCCTTTTTGGCAACATAAAATGGACTAAGATACCACTCCTAGATATCCATCCACTCAAGAAAATTCAACATGACCACAAATCAACTTATAGGTGAATGTTCATAGCATACTATTTAAGATAAACAAAAAAGTGGAAACAATACAAATTTAAAAAACCATCAAAATGCATAAACAAAATGTGATATATCCACACAATGGAATATTATTCCGCCACAAAAAGGAATGAACTAATGATACACACTCCAACGCAAACAGATTCTGAAAATATTATGTTCGGTGAAAGAAGTCATACACAAAAGACCACATACTGTATGATCTCATTCATATAAACTGTCCGGAACAGGCAAATCCATACAGCTAGAAAGTTGGTTAATGGTTGTCAGGGCTGGGGGAGAGGAGGGGAAAACAGAGAACTGCTAGTGGGTATAGGTGTCTTCAAAAAGAAAATGAAGATGCTGATATGCTAATGAAAATGTTCTGGAATAAGATAGTGGAAATGGTTGTACAACTTTGTGAATACACTAAAACCACTGAATTATGCACTCTAAATGGGTGAATCATGACGGTATATGAATTATATCTCAATAAAGTGTAAAAACTACATTTAAGCCTTCAAGAAAGGTACCAGTGATGCTAAGCACATGTCCTCTGTAAGGCAACAAGTCTCCTTTAATCTGATGTGCAGCTCACACCTTGGCAGTACTTCCCCTGGGAGTATCTGAGTATCTTCAAATGTTAAGTTATCACAAAGACAAGCAGGGGAATCTGCAAGCATCTGATGAAGCTGGGCCAAGGATGTCAGATTTTGTACCATGTTCAAGACCACCTAACATGATGCTTGATCATCCTGTGTACCAAATTCCTGCAGGTATCAATCTGTGGTACTTCATTTTTATTTTTTTAAGAGACAAGGTCTCATTCTGTAGCCTAGGCTGGAATGTAGTGCTATAATCATAGTTCACTGCAGTCTCAAACTCCCACACTCAAGCAATCCTCCTGCCACCTCCCTCCCTTCCGACTAGCTGGAACTAAAGGTACATACCACCATCCCCAGCTAAGTTTTAAAAAATTTTTTTTGTAGAGATGGGGGTCTCACTATGTTGCACAGGTTGGTCAAGAACTCCTATCCTCAAGTGATCCTCCCACCTTGGCCTCCTAAAGCACTGGAATTACAGTCATGTTATGAGACATTAGGGAAAATTTTCTTCATTTAGGAAAAAGAAACTTACAAAATATACAGACAATGCCCTGAATTCATGAACTCATACTCCACTCTAAATTACCTCTCCTGTCAAAAATTGGCCATTCCAACCACACACTCTACTATGGTCTGAATATTTGTGTTCCTTCCCAAAACTCATGTTGAAATCCTAACTCCCAAGGTGATGGTATTAGGAGGTACGGGCTTTGAGAGGTAATGAGATCATGAAGGTTGGGATTAGTGCCACTATAAAAGAGGCCCCAGAGAGTTCCCTTGCTCCTTCCATCATGTGAGGACACAAGGAGGCCGCAGGGAGAAGGACACCATCTATGAATCAGAAAGTAGGCCCTCACTAGACACCAAATCTGGTGCCTTGCTTTAGAGTCCTGGCCTCCACATCTGTGAGGAATAAATCTTTGCAGTTTATAAGCCATCCGATTTATGGTATTTTGTTACAGCAGCCCAAACAGACTAAGACATCCTCATTTGAAGAGGGCTTCAGTGTTAAAGTAACAAATGATTACAAGTACACAGGAGGACATTAGGGCAGGCTTAGGGGAAATATATTAAATTGGGGCATTTAATGCAAAAATCTCACTGAACTTCATTAGAATTGTTTTCAAAATATCTCATATCTTTGCCCTCCTACATGCTAATATTTTAGCAGTACTATGATACAAAAAATTTGTTGTAAAACTTAATTCATCTTAGTGTTATTTTGGGGGTTCCCTGTTCCTCCCCCCACTCTTCCTCTGACCCTGTCCTCAGATGACCATGATACAAACTTTTCTAAAGTCCTCAGTTACTGATTCTTTCCACAACTTGTCCTCTCCCCCACTGCCATTGGAGAAGGCGGTTTCTGAGAATTTCTACACAGTGAATGTTGTCTCAGCACATGCTAGACTTCAGGACTACAGAGCCGTTTTCTGTGATAAACTGTCCCTATG